CCACGAAATCTGTGAGGGGTGTGCCAACAAGGGGCGGTGGCGCCATGCGAGCTGCGCCACTTGGACCCCAGGTGGAGCTCCCTGAGAGGCCACGAAACGTGCGAGGGGTGTGCCAAAATGGGGCGGTGGCGCCATGCGAGCTGCGCCACTTGGACCGTAAATGGAGCTCCCTATGGGGCCACGAAACGTGTGAGGGGTGTGCCAAAATGGGCGTGCGGGACGCATGCGGGCACACCCACTGGGACCTTCGGTGGAGCTCCGTATGGGGCCACGAAACGTGCGATGATGGCGACGAGGACAACGATGATGGTGATGACGACGATGATGGTGATGATGACGATGGTGGTTATGATGGCGGCCATGATGTTGATGCTGATGACGATGATGATGATAATGATGATGATAACGATGATGATGACGATGATGATGATGATGACGATGAGGATGATAGGAGGGGAGAGGAGGCGGAGGAGGAGAGGAGGAGGAAGGAGACGCGGGGCACCGTCTCTTCAAAACGAGGACCCAACACCACAGGATGGTTGGGAAAAATGCACTATACATTAGCATTGACATGTAAACTTTGCCATTGGCATATACCTTTACATATGCATACACATGTACACAAACATATACATAGTCATATACAGATACATTTACGTACAAATATGCATCGACATGCACGTAAACATATACATCGACATATGCAATGGCATTGACGCATACATGTATTTGTACGCATACATATAAATCTGACTAAACATAAACATAATATATATATGTATATATACATAAACATCTACACATACGTATTCATATGCATATACATATACAAATGCATGCGCATATGTATACATGAACACATAGTCATGCACATACATATACATATGCAAATGCGAAATGTATACACATACACATACACAAACAATCATTAATACGTACACACATACACATACATATATATATATATATATACGTATATATACACCGGACATATACATATACATATCCCGATAGATAAACATATGCATACACGTATACATATACATATACACAGCTTCAACGACATATGATAAACATGTGAAGGAAATATGTATACATATGCACGTACATATACATAGAAATCTACATATACATATACAATTACATCTACAAATACATACACATTCACACTGCATAAACATGTGCACATACACATACACACACATATCAACCTACATATACACCCGAATGTGCATATACATACCCATGTACACGCACAATTACATATACATGCATACACAACTACAAAATCATAGACATACGACTATACATGTACATACCCATATGCATATACATGCATATACATATGCAAATGCAAACGCATGCACAAATACATATACACCTACATACACCTACACACACATCTATACACATACAGATGTACACAAGCACATACACACACAGATCTACATGCACACACGTTTGGACGTCGCGGCCTCGCGTGGAGCACCCAACCGTAGAAGGTCGGGAGGCGGAGCAACGCGCGCGCGAACACCCAACACACACTTCTTCAAGCCAGCGGCGCAGAAGGGCCTCAGGCGCGGGAGGCAGGTGAAAGTGAACGAGCCATGATGAAACAATCCACCCACGGCCATGTAACTTGATAGTGGGAAAAGTAAGGCATTGCCAAGCCAAAATGCAGCGGCCAAGCATCCCGCGGAGCGCAGGCTCGACGCCCGGAGTTGAAGCGCAAGCAGCAGCCTGCTACGAATTAGCCAGTGAGGCGGAAAGAAACTGCAAGGCTGCCAGACCATCCAGCTTGCTGGCAACATGAAACGCGCAGCAATGCGATAAGCGACACCACCGGGCTTGCAGCAGACACGACAAAACAGCGTGCGAGTGCAAGAGGTGTGATGAAACACGCGCGTCCGAGGCAAATATAGCCTGGACAAAGAATAAGGCTGAACGCGGGCGACCGCGCGCAGCAGCCGCGTCACGCGGTGACGCACATGGGTGGTGGACAACGCAGGCAAACCCCCATGGGTGGTGGAAAAGCGCGTGCGTGGCCAACGTGCAATGCAGGCGCCACTGTTGGGGAACAATCGCAACGCAGCCAAGGCTGCGGCAAGCATGGGCAGGTGGATCCGAAACGGAAAAAATACACCTAAGCACAATAGAAGCTGTACGCGTCACCTCAAGGTCGCACCACTCCGACCAAAGGCAATCAAGCGAAGAACAAAATGGGAAAGCGAACCCACCACTGGACTACGCCAACGAAAACAGCCAGCGATCAAGCTGACATACAGCTGAAACCAGCAAGATACGACCTGCCGCCCCAAGCGCGATTCACACCCCAGGCGCAATGCAGCCGCAAAAAACCGAAACTGGCCGCAGCCAACCCAGCCAGCACCCACTCCACGGCGCAAAGCAACAAGGCGGTAAGGCCACCGCTGGGCAAGCTGCCAACAGAAATAAGCGCCGACAACGAGGGATGCCCGTGGAAATTGCCACGCACATGCCTGGGAGCGCAAAAACGCCAGTGCCCCGGCCAATACGAGAGGTACGAAGCACCCCCAGGCCGCGCCCCCGAAACACCCCGGATAGACAAAAAGCCACGCGACCAAAGGCCCAACGCCTAAAGCGGTATAGCAATACAGAAGCTGCCCAATGAAAGGCCAGATGGCGCAGAAAAAGGCCGTAGCGAGCTACCCCAGGACGAAGCCTGGGGAACACGACAAAAAATGGGGTGGGCCGCGGCCAAGCCGGCCTATCCCCCCGTACTGGGGCAAAGGCAGCAAGGCGGTCAGGCCGCCGCCAGATCCAATAGACCAACGGAAAAAAGGCGCTACGACACGCGAGCGGAGCGCAAGAATCCATCAAGACAAAACCATGGGCGGTGTAGGCAGGGCAAGACACGGCCGATCACCAGGAAGACAACCCACGGGTACGGGCCGGCCTTGCGCCAGACGTCCTTACGCCTGAGGCGACGAGGCAAAAAAACGGCAAGTCCCGCCAACAGTCCCGCGGGACGAGCCACGAGGCAACTGGAGGCCGCGAAGAGAAGCGGAGCGGGGGAAGGAGCACAGGAGCGGCGAGCAGCAGTGCTGCAGCGACGCAGAAATTGAAAGCTCCAGCAATGACAGTCAGTGGCGCGCAGAGATGAAGGGAGAGGGGGGGAAGACACCTGGGCGAAGCGAGGGATCACTCCCGCCAGCAGCACCGCACATCATGGGCACGGTCAGCCCTGAAACCATCTATTTTGCAGAGCATGGGTGGGGGCAAGGCCTAGCCTCAGCAGCTCGCGCCTCCGTTTGCAGCACGGTGTCGCCCTCGAACGTCCTGTCGGCCTGGCCCCCCCGCCTCCCTCTGGGAAGTACTGAGCAGCCGAAATACGGGTGGGGGACATGGGCGAAAGTGAAGTGGGCCACGGCAGAAGTGGCATTCGCCCTCCTTCGCGCTGCACATACTTAAAGAATGTTGCGTCGACCGATCCCCACCGAAACCTTCAGCGTTTGTTCCCGACGGCGTGCGGTCGCCTAATTGGTCGACAGCTGCCGTTTCTGGATTCACAAAAAGGTTCAGCCATTTTCCATGTAGTCACGTTCCTTCATGTTGTGCTCTAGCATGCCCTGTTATGTTCTCGACGGGCCGGCATGATGTCGTGATATGGTTTGGTATGATCTGATAGGCGACACTATATTACGACATGATGCAATGTCACGTTGTGATCTAGTAAGACTTGTTCCGTGATGCGTTGACCGCTCGGCTCAGTATAATAAATTGTGATACACTCTGCTAGTCTGTTTCGCTATGCTGTTCTGTCATGTGATCTTTGATGCTGTCATGATATGATATGATATGTTATGTCAGTGTGTTATGACTGGTGTCTTGGTATGTTGTGTTATGTCGTATTATGATATAGCATGTTCTGCTCTGACATGATATGTGTTGGTATGCTTGTTGACGGCGTGGCTCTGCATAGTACATTACGGAACGGTCTGCTAGGATGTGTCGTTATGCTCAGTTGTCGTGCTAGGATATGTCCTGTGATGCTGTGTCATGGTATGATATGGTATGTCAAGGTGTGATGTGTTATGCTCGGTTATGTTATGCTGTGTTGTACTAAGTTGTATTATGTTATGTAATGTTCTGCTGTGGTATATTATGTGACGTTCTGTCATGTTCTCTCTGATTCGTCGTGATCTTGACATGCTCTGTTCTGCAATGTTGTGTCATGCTCTGTTCCGTTCTGCCATGTTCTGTTCTGCCATGTTGTGTTATGTCGTATTCGTCGAGGGCGCGAGGCGGGACTCTCGGAGATCATCGGGACAACTTGGCGCCTGGCGGCCGCGGTGTGCAGGATGGGGTTGGCTGGGCGCGAGGCGGGACACCCGGGATACCCCGGACAACTTGGGGTCCGGCGGCCGCAGTATGCAGGGTCGGGTTGGCCGGGGGGCCTGCTCCTGAAATCTAACAACCCCAACCTGTCGGGGGGACAACTTTTTGGCGCTCCACGCGGATTTCTTTGATCTGCGCCGGACAACCCTCGCTGGCGCGCGGAGCGCGCCAGGGGCGGCGCCAGAGGCGCCGCCTAGGTGGCCCAGCGCGGATCCAAGAAGTCCGCGCGGAGCGCCAAAACAAATATAGAGATTCGTGGAGTTTTCTTTTTCGACATAACTCACACACACACACCAACACACACACACACACACACACACACACACACACACACACGCATACACACGCACACCCACACACGCACGCACGCACGCACGCACGCACGCACGCACGCACGCACGCACGCACGCACGCACGCACACACACACACACACACACACACACACACACACACACACACACACACACACACACGCACACACACACACACCACACACACACACACACACACACACACACACACACACACACACACACACACACACACACACACACACGCCCCTCCCGCTCCATCTCCGCGCTCACTCCTTCTACTTCCCCCCCAGGCGGCGGCGGGCGCGGGCCCTGTCCGCCAGCGCGACCCCCAGCGCGACCGCGGCCAGCGTCTTGAGGGGCGGAGGAGGGGAAGGAGGAGGAGGAGGAGGGAGGAGGAGAGGAGGAGGGGGAGGAAGGAGGATGAGGGGAGGAGGAGAGGGGGAGGGAGGAGGGAGGGAGGAGGGGGGGAGGGAGAGGAGTGAGGAGGAGGAGGAGGAGGAGGGAGAGGAGGAGGAGGAGGAGGAGGAGGAGGAGAAGGAGCAGGAGGAAGGAGGAGGGAGGGAATGGCACGGAATGACAACAGGCCACGACGTGGCGTCCTCTTTCAGCACGGGGGACAAGAGCCAGAGAGGAGATAGGGATGGAGCAAGGGAGGGAGGGAGAGAGGGAGGGAGGAGGTGAAGGGCCAGCTGCGCGGAAAGGCACAGCGACCTCACTCGGCCGCGGCGGCCTCCGCACGCCGGTCGCACGCCACGCCGCGTGGCAGAGAGAGCGCCTGCGCAAGGGCCTCACGCGGGAAGCTCACGTGCGAATCTCCGCGCGGTCGACCGAGACAAAGGCAGGGTGCCTTGCTTTGCGACGGCGGACATCAGCGTCGGAGGGGTTCGGGCCTCCCAGCTGGGGCCTGAGCCGGCGGGGTCGGAGGATCGTCGATGCGTCGCCTGTGCGTCGCCGATGCAGCTCGATGTGGGGCCCGATTTTCTCCGCGCTGGCGGCGCCGATGCATCGGTGATGGCGCCAACTGAGGTCCGCCGTCGATGAGTCCAGACGAGGACAGGTCCGGAGAGCGTATCGGGCGCCGCGGCCGTCCCAGCGCGCCCCAGGGCGCTGCGAGGGCGTTCCAGAACGCTCTGGAGCGATCTGCATTCCTCCCCGGACGGCCCGAGGACACTGCAGTGCCCAACCACATGCACTGAGCCAGACTGGAATCACCCGGGGACCAACCTGCAACAGGCGGGCCAACACGGGAGGCCTTGGCCAGTGCAGATAAGCTAAAACGGGCGTAGCCACAGCAACGTATCAGGTCTGTCCTGCACATGCAGCCAAGACGCGAACCCCAGGTCCCGTGACTCAGCTGTCTATGACGGTCAACGCACACTCGAAACTATGGTTTTTGTCGGCCTCTGTCCTCCTCCTCCTCCTCCTCCTCCTCCTCCTCCTCCTCCTCCTCCTCCTCTCCTCCTCCTCCTCCTCCTCCTCCTCCTCCTCCTCCTCCTCCTCCTCCCTCCTCCTCCTCCTCCTCCTCCGCCTCCTCCTCCTCCTTCCTCCTCCTCCTCCTCCTCCTCCTCCTCCTCCTCCTCCTCCTCCTCCTCCTCCTTCCTCCAGGTACACGGGTGGTCAGCCACCGCACCCGTGCGTTCACGACGGCTGATGTCACAAAAATCCTCCTGCGTACTGTTCTTTCTCTTCCCTTCGAGTCTTCCGAGACCGCCCCTTCGGCGGTGCACAAACCTCCCTTTAGTAAACATGCCTCTAGTGAAAACGGCCTGGGGCCGAAACCGGCGGACCGGGGCCCGCAAAATTGACGGCCGCGACGCCCTCTCGCGAACAAAAAACGGCCAATCCGCTAATCGACGTGTCAGGGTAGAGGGTCTATCATCCTTAAGTCGGGCCTGTCCCCCTACAGGGCGGTTTTCGACGAAAAATGCAAAATACCCCATAAATAATCAAAAAAATAATGCAAAAATGGTCCGGGGACTATTTTTTAAAATATTTTTGACCTTTTGGGGGTATTCCTGGGGTATTCTTTATTTTTCATCGAAAATCCCTCTGTAGGGGGACACGCCCGACATAAGATTAACCTCCGAGAGCGGGGGGGGGAGAGCGGCCGCGGCCCTCCTCGAGGAGGGGCGCGCGGCCCTCCTGGCTGGCGACGACCGGCCCCGCCGAGAGTCGAGCGCCCCTGACCCGCGCCCTCTGCCGAGCGTGGCGCGATGGGGGCGAGCAGCCCAGCTGGCTAGGGGTGGGCCTCACACGCATCCGCCCGGGATGCCTCGCCGAAGACGTGGACCATCGGCGCCCACCCGGGCACGTGCACTGCCCCCCCTGTCTCCCCAATTAGAGCTGTGCGTAGCCCGCCTAGCTTTTAGCGGAAGAGGTTCGCTCTCGCCCCGCCGACCAAAAAATGTCCTGCCCCCCCCCCCTCTCTCGAGCGGTTCGCCCCCGTCGCCGCCTCCGCTTCTGGCGGGCAAGGAGGCCCTCTCGGAGGGCCGCTCGGCGGTCTCTTCCGGATGCTCCCCGGCGGCTCCTGCGGCTGCGCGCAGAGGAGTGACCCCCGGGCAAGAGCGACGCCTCTGGTGCGCGACATCTCCGGGGTGGCCGGGCGAGGCCCGGCCCGGGCACGCGAGAGACGCTGCTTTTGCACCGCAGCCCGCACCGAAGGCCACGCGGGCGAGAGAGGTCCTTCGGCCACGCGTGGCCGAATCACCTGGCGGCTCTCGGCAGCCTCCGGCCGCCGCCGGCGGCTGCGGGCAGCCCTCAGCGCGCGGGACCGCTGGACGGCCGCGCTCCGCACACGAGGGCGAGGGC